GCCTGTGGAGCCCCTGCGCTGAGGTACACTATGCCCCAGCCAGCTGCAGAGCAGCTGGCTGAGGTGCAGTGTGCCTTGATGGGGAGCAGGCAGCCTTCAGCTTGCTGGTTCTGTCTCCACATTCCTCAGCATGGGCGGCACCTCTGCACCGAGGCACATGGATCCCCCGTGCTTAAGCACACTGTGTCCCAGCCAGCTGCTGCCTGCTCCCCCGCCTTGAGGCACACTGTGCCCCAGCCAGGTGGGGAGTGGCTGGCTGGGGTGTAGGGTGCCTGAATGCGGGGATTCCACAGTGCACACAGATTGGGGAGCCTTGGGCTGTCTGTTTCCCCCGTCCCTGCTCCCTGGCTGGTCGGGGCACAGGATGCCTCAGCACAGGGGGAGGCTAGCCCCTGCTGAGACACTCCGTATCCCAGCCAGCCCTCCCATGCAGCATATGGAGCAGTGGAACAATGTGTCCTGCTGCAAAGCACATGGGCAGGGGCGTGCACTTTGGCACAAACTACTTGTAGGCACGCCCCTGTTTGTGTGTGCCGGGCCATAGAGTTGATGCATAGTAGCTTATATGAAAACTGACTACCCATACAAGTGTAATGCCCAAAGTGAAAATTGTATTGGTATAATGGTTTGATTGGACTCCCTGTTTCTCACTGTGGAGGCTGAAAGTATTGGCAGCATAACTGATATCTTTAGTGTGGTGTGGCTTATAAGAAAGTAAATAAACAGATAAACCTAGAAGCCCTGTATTTGATGGTGGTGCTACTTTTCTTTTGTAAAATAATTCATGTTATCTTAATTCATATTATCATTATGAATGGCTTGAATTCTAATGAGCAGAAGCGCCTCAGATTTTGTAAATATCTGTGTTGGTGGTTTACAACCAGACACCTTTTCATTTGCGGACCCCTAAAAAATGTAATTGTAAGTTTGGGTATTTGCAAACTAGATCATAGTCATCTTTTGCAGACCCCTTGCACATAGTCTTTGGACCTCCAGGGGTCCACTGACCACAGGCCAAAAAACATTGATCTACGTATTAAAATTGTAAAATAATACATTGGAAATATGTTAGTAAAATGACATTAGATCTAGCAATGGTCTGCCATATAAAAGTTTGAATTAAAATACACCTGTTTGTTTTTAATCTAGGTATCCTCAGTGTTTACACATGTTAGAGCTGCTTCAGTATGAACACTTCCGTAAAGAACTGGTAAATGCCCAGTGTGCTAAATTTATTGATGAACAACAGATTCTTCACTGGCAACATTATTCGCGGAAGAGAATGCGTCTTCAGCAGGCACTAGCAGAACAGCAACAACAGAACAACACTTCAGTCAAATGAAAATTCTGGATAACCTGTGGCAGCATGAACTTCACATTGGTTTATAGTTTGAAGAAAAATAGACTGAATTTTGTAGGTTTGGTCTTAGGGATGTACATAATGTGTGTATGTGAATAGAAAACTTTTTTTTTTGGTTACTGAGTGACCTTTTTCTAGGAGCAACTTGTATCCATTTCAGTGCGGTGTAGCTGATATGTATTTTGTAGTAACGACAAAGTCTTAAGATTAACTGCAGACTTACATCTCTGTTGATGGATCTGCTTTGAAATTTTAATAGAGTTATTTAAGCGCCTATCACGTGGGTATCAAAGCCATGTAATCGCATGTGTTACAGAAAACCTTAATTGTGAACATGCCCATCTTGAAGCAAGGCTGTGGCTATGACTGCTGCTGTACTTTTGTTAATGATTCCTTGTCTAGTGCTGCTGTTTTTGCCAACGTTTTAGCAGAGGAAACCAAATTTACAACAGCTAAAATATTTGTTCAGGGAAGGGAGGTTTCTAGCACTGTTAAGTGTAAAATTTATCAGTGGAAAAGAACCCTAATATCTATTCCAGGAAAATTTAACGTATTAATTTAGACCGCTAATAGTTGGCAGAATTTATAAAGGCTGTTCTCAGGTAGTTGCTTCTCTGAAGTATGTTGCTGGTATTTCAGAAGGTAGAGAAGCATTTATCTTTAATGCAGCTGGTTTGGGAACCTTTCAGCTTCTTGTAGGTTCAAAGGAGGCAGGCATCTAATAATTGTACATAATAACTCAACTACTGAAGGCAGTTGTCAAGGATTTTATCCTTTTTACCCTGATGGAAGGCATATTTGATAACAAGAATTGGAGGAAACTGGTCTTAATCTTAAAAGAGATTTCTCTGTGATGTGATAGAAGCTAGGATGATTCATGGCAAAAGGTGTGAGAGTATTTTGTCTTGCCTAAACTTCTAATGTGTTTGTGCTGTGCAGAAGTGGGTGGAGCTTTGTTTTGAAGGAAAGGTTAAATGCAGGCTGGATACTTTCCAGTATCTGACTGGCTGTCCTCAGTAACACTCTTACAAAGCCAGAGTAAAATACTGACAACCCATTCTTACATTAGCAATTAACTGAACAAATTTTCAGATTCAGTGTGCTATAATGCATATTCCTGTTCCTACCACTGTGGCTCTGTGAAGTGATCTTTGCACCAAAGAGCAGCTTGATATTCAATTTTCTATTCTTTATTATTCCGCATCATGGAATAACTTATTTTTAACCTTTCAAAATAGTAGTGACCACGGTATGTAGAACGAGATTGTTGGTCTTGCGTAAGCAGCTTTCTATGCATTAGTAAAACAGGCATCCAGTTGCTTCTAGAATAGTGGTGCTCAACCACCAGTCCACAGATCTGCATCATTTTGTCCACTCCTCCTCACAGGTTCAGCAATTTGGGGGCAGAGTAATGGCAGCATTACTTGCTGCTGCTCTGCTGCCAAATTGCTGGACCTATGAGGAGCCCTACAGGCTGGCTAATGTCACCCTGCACATGGGGTTGGGCTGGTCACACCTACAGATCAATCCCATGTGGGATCTGGTTTGTGGGCCAACCTCATGTCACTTGTCTGGCTATTAAGTTGAGTACCACTGTTCTAGAAAACTCATGCTAGAGCACTAGAGAAAAAAAGTCTGGGATAAAAAATCATCAGTTGACTTTGAGTGAGCTGTCACTTCATCTATCATGATTTGGGGCATAAGCTTATTAACAGTCAAGGTTCAGTCTTGCTGATTATTCATTTTTTAATTTCAAATAGTTATATTGTGCTCTCCAGCTGTATCTAGGCACCCTGAATATTTCAATAAATTAATCTTGAGTGTACAACTATAGTATGTTTTCATGATGCGGGGTAGTATCATACTTAGTACCGTGGAATGAATTCTAGAGGAGCTATGCAGTGTTTCTGCAGAGTAGGCTGCTCTCCCCTTGCATTTTGACTTAATTGTATTCCTTTCCTTTAATAACTGTAACTTAATTTTTTAAGTAGAGAATCTATAAGCAAATTTCTTGGGGAAACTCTTTTGAGAAGATCATCAAGGAGCACACCTGCGATGGGCCAGCAGCAGAGATGATGCTCAAGGGCAGCCAGCACGGTTTCATTAGGGGCAGGTCCTGTCAGATCAACCCGATTGCCTTCTACGATCAGGTCACAAAAGCATTGGACACAGATATCGCGGTGGATATAGTTTTTCTGGACTTCAGCAAGGCCCCTGACACTGTCTCCAACCCCATTCTCATAAAAAAACTAGGTGACTGTGGCATTGATGCCTACAGTCAGATGGATTGCAAATTGGCTGAAGGGTCGTATTCAGAGGGTAGTGGTAGACGGGTCTTTTTTGACCAGAAGGGCTCGGTCCTTGGGCCCGCACTGTTCAATTTCTTTATTAGTGACTTGGATGACGGGATAAAAAGCCGCCTGTTTAACCTTGCTGATGATACCAAGATTTGGGGTAAGGTGGGCACGCTAGTAGGGAAGGACAGATTACAGCAGGACCTGGACAGGTTACAGGGGTGGGCTAACAAAAATAGGATGGGTCTCAATACTGACAAGTGCAGGGTGCTGCACATGGGCAGTGGGAACCAGCAGCAGACTTATAAGCTGGGAAACTCCCTTCTTGAGAGCATGGTGGCAGAAAGAGATCTTGGAGTCATTATTGACTCCAAGATGAACATGGGCTGAAAATGCGAGGTCACAGTCAGTAGGGCTAACCGTACCTTGTCATACATCCACAGATGCATCTCAAGCAGGGCCGAGGTGATCCTCCCCCTCTATGCGGCACTGGTGAGGCCGCAGTTGGAGTACTGCGTCCAGTTCTGGGCGCTGCACTTCAGGAGGGATGTGGACAGTACTGAGAGGGTCCAGAGGAGGGCCACCCGCGTGATCCGGGGACAGCAGGGCAGACCCTACAAAGAGGCTACGGGACCTGAACCTGTTCAGCCTTCACAAGAGAAGGCTGAGGGGGGACCTGGTGGCCATCTATAAACTCACCAGGGGGGGCCAGCAGGGCTTGGGAAAGACTGTTCCCCCTTGTGCCCCATGGGGTAACAAGGGATAATGGCCATAAATTGTTAGAGAGTAGGTTTAGACTAGACATTTGAAGGCACTACTTCACAGTCAGGGCGGCTAGGATCTGGAACCAACTTCCAAGGGAAGTGGTGCTGGCTCCTACCCTGGGGGTCTTTAAGAGGAGGCTTGATGTCTACCTGGCTGAGGTCATTTGAGTCCAGTTTTCTCTCCAGCCCAGGGCAGGGGGTCAGGCTTGATGATCTACAAAGTCCCTTCTGACCTTACTTCTATGAATCTATAAAGTTGGTAAAGTTACTGTATTTGTGTATATTACTGCTTAATGTAACTGTTCTTGTAAAAGAATGAGCTACAGTTTGACTTTTACTCCAAAACAGCTAGTATCTGACTATGGTCACAAGTCTTATTAACTAGGTTGATTAACTCCTTAGTTAAAACCTATTTGCATGTCATTACACTGAACAGGGGAAAAATAGTTAATTTTGTACATTCACCATTTGGGAAGTGAAACCATATAGGGTTAAGTGTTTTCTGCCTATTTCTCAGACATCTTTTATATATAGCAAGCCATATAATTAACATTACTTTTTCCAAAGAGACTGATACACGGGTTGTTGCAAATGAATTTAATTCAGCAAAAGCATAGATTACAGTTCCTTAGTGTTTCACATTCCCCTCACATGATCTGCACCCAGAATTTCATGATATGTGTTTTGGCCAGCAGATGAAATTGACACTGTAAAATCTAACTACAGTCAGAAGATACAAACATCCAGTTTCTAGATAAATGATTGACTACTGAAGAGTCCAGACTTAATCTTCAGTAAACAACATGCGAACAAGGTCTGCCTTAAAACATTCCTCTTCTACCAGCTTCTGAGGCTGCAAAAAAGAATTCAAATTTATCTTTCCAGAAAAGGTAAATTAAAGACATTTTGAACAAGTTCCTTGCACAAGAGGTATTTACTAGCTATGCATGAAGACTACTGTAGTGTTCCATAAGCTGGGTTTCCTTCCACTTTGTCTAAACTATACAGGGCATGCAGAGATCCTTTCCTTACAAAGTTAAAATACCTTCATGTTTGCTATTCACTAGCTTCCCTGCTAGTCTGTTTTTAAATATGCTGGTTTACAAAGTACAAATGTTCAAGATGCCATTCCTTCAGATTCGCACAATTTAGAGTTAAACCTTAACTTGCCAGAGAATGATCTTGTTTGTTGGTTTACTGTACCAGCATTTTAGCTCTGGAGATCACTTTTAATCAGCTTCGGTCAGAAGTAGTAATTTTGTTATCACTTGTTCTACTTCAAGAGCATCTAGTGGTTTATCTTGTCTAGAGAGGAGGAACTGAACTGCATATTATAGATTGGAAAGCTACCTTAATTCTTCAGCTGCGTTCAAAACCCTTCTGAAAATCTGGCCGCAATTGTGGATGCTCCGCTACACTGAGTATGAATGAGCTTTAGTAGTTTCTCCATGATCACTAGTACAAGCAGAACTACAGAAAGAGGAATAGTCTGTACTGACAGATATTGAAACAGTGAATTAGCTGCAGGGGAGGAGATTAAAGTGTTCTTAACTGTTTGCTCTGCTCTAGACAGCTCCACAGAACACCGGAAGTGTTGTGTGCAGAACACGTAGTTCAAACTGACAAGATCTAACAGGTTTTTCACTTAAACATGGCATAAATTCAACCATGTAAGAGAAAGTACTTACAGTCCCATATTTAAGTAGTGTAGGCACTCCAGTTAATTTCAGATTCTTTCTGAACTCGTTGTTAGGATCTTTCCAGCTGTTTAGAAAAAGAACAGTTAAGCTAAAGTTTTCTAACATTCCACCTGCCATTGAAACAAAAGGAGTTTCTGTTTTCTTGGCGCGCTGCCTGATTTGCATATTGCTAGTATACAGAACGAGCCCAAAAGACCGCAGTGGAGCACCCTCTGCAGGTTTAAGCCATCATAAAGTGCAAAGCTCATACAGGCAGTCCTCGACTTATACGTTTATAAACTGACACCCTGTTTCAACTTTATGACATTTCGACTTTACAACGCTTGATCTGATGTGGCGCCACGCCAGTGAACAAGTTCGCTGCTGCATCGCTCATCTCCCTGGAGGCCATCTGAACAAACTTCCTTGGACGCTTTCTTTAAGAAAACAGATGAGACTCCAGAAAAACCTGCAGCCAAGACTCCTGAGAAGACTCCACCCAAGAGCCGTTCAAAGTGTCCAGCAAAGTCACTTCAAAGAAGTCCTTCCAAATCAACATGACTGCTGTTTACGATACAAATACATTAACGTAGCTATATTACTCATCAACAATTTATTGAGTGCAAAATTCTGGGGTATTTTTGGTGACAATAGGGCATTGGGCCTTGGTTCAGGAACCAACCCCTCATTTATAACATCATTTCTTATGAGAAAATCGGTTCCGAGTTACAACGTTTTGACTTAAGACGCGGTTTTCAGGAACCGATTGTATCGTAAGTCCAAGGACTGCCTGCGCTCCTATTAAGAGGATAAAAAGCCAAGAAGGCGTAACTTTTCAAGTTCGATTGCGTTGCATTGCTTTAGAGGTACGATCCTACATTATAAAAGGAACTGATTTTTGGCAGTTTGTCGTGACGAAGATACAGATCGTTAACTTGAGGCCTACACCAGCCCAGGGCTTGAGAGAAGAAAGACACCTCTGGGATCGAGCGGGTGTGTTTCGCCTAACGCCCTGGTTATCCGGGCACAAAGCAGCAGGGGCAGTTAGCAGGAAGCACCGGTACTTACTAGGCTCTGTCTCCCACTTGACAGTAGATGAATATGGATCCTTCCGGCATGTTGTGCAGTTCGCCCCGTATCACCGGTTCAGCTAAACGGTATTATTGAGAGCGTTAATGTCCTACCTCTGAGATAAAACCGCTCCTATCGCCAGCGAGCCCGTCTGTCCGCCTCCCGCCCCAGCCGCACCGGTCCCCCGGAAGACGACCATGTCACGTAAGGCCCCTCTAGACCCTCGGGTGCGCATCACCCGTCCACGCTGCGTGTGCAGGGACCCGGCATCCTCTCCCCTCCCCTCCCGCCTTATTGCTGGCGCAGGGGGCGAGAGCCGGGCGGGCCTCACCCGTGACGCAGTCCGGGCACCAGCTGTGGCCCGCGGCGTCCTTGTCGCCGCTGAAGAGCACGAAGATGGGCCGGCCGTGGTGCTGCTGCGCCGTCCGCGCGAACTCCGCGTAGCCGCGCACCGGCTTCTCCTCCCAGCCCATGGCGCCCGATCTGGC